CTAATTGCAAGAATATTGAATTAGACTTGTTAAAATGTTATACAACCTTATTTGCTATAAGGCATTTAATTGATAGTAGAATTGATGCCAGATCTTTAAGTCCAAGTCAAGGTTTTATGGAAATCTTTCAAAATCTTGAAAAATTATTTACTGATTAGTTTATTGCCAATAACTCATTAGCTTTTCAAGAAAATGAACTTAATGATGATGAAGGCAAGTTTTAATAAACTATTAAAAAAATTTTAAAATAAGAAAAAATATATATTTTAAAAAAAAAAAACCAAAAAATTAATTTTGTATATCTACAATTATACTAATTAAAGATTATAATTTTTTTTAGTATCTTTACAAGTAAAACATATTTTTAAAATCAAGTTACGAAAGAAAATTCTATTGGCAAAACAGAAAAAAATAGTATTATGCCATGTAAATAGTTCTGAATTCAGATCAGAATTATTATTTTCTTATCGAGATTTCAAACAAAATGCTGCTCTTATTAATAAGTTAATAAGTTTTTATCAAAATATAACATATTTGGCAGAAAACGATCATAAAATAATTGAAAAATGGTCTTTAAATCTTGAAAATATTGTTACTATTTAGAAAAAAGAGGAAAAAGAAAGCTTTGCTATAATTAGAGCAATTTTCTGGCACAAAGACAATAATAAGTATTTCTATGCATTTATTATTATTGATTGGTTTGAAAATACTAGTTAAATAAATAGTATGCTAGAATGTCCTATTTACAGAGTTCAAACAATTAATAACAAAAAGTAGTGATGTGTCTTTTTATTATCAGTAGTTGATAATACAAAGAAAGTTCACTTCATCCACAATTGTTTATCAGATGGATGTATAAATAGTCATGATTTAAAAAACACTTGTTATCTTAAAAATAATTATTTTTTTAAGACTATTTAGTATTATAGTCATACTGTACAAATATAATACTATAAATATATACAGGTTTAATGAGCCTATTTAATTAAAATTTTAGACTATAATAACTTTGCAAATTATGAATATAATTACGTAGGTTTTAATTTTAAGTAATTAAATAAGTCTAATATCAAATATTTACTAAAAAAATAACTTTTAAACTATGATTACATAGTGATAATCTTTTTGAAATTAATTGTGCAACTAAAATCAACCAGACACTAATTGCTTAATGCTGGCTAGCTCTGATGAATTTCAGTCTAAAATTTTGGCATTTTGTTGATAATAAAGATTTATGTTACATAAAAATAAGTAATATTATATATTGATAGTTGATCGATATTGGATGAATTTTTACACTTTTTTACATGAAGATTTTAATTATAAAACCAGTAAATTTTTCAATACCTTTTTTTTTTTATATTTTTTTAAACCTTTCGACCCAATATATAAAAAATCTATTATCTTACTTTTAAACAATTCTGTTATATTTTTGAAACTAAGTTAACTATATTTTTTTTCTTTAAACACAACTTACTCATTTGCTTCTTTTCATTAAAGAAATTTTTCTTCAATATTCTGTTATTATAACATATTCTTATATAAAAGAAAAAACTTTACTGTATAAATGATATAACTACGAACTTATTACAACAAACATAGTTAATTTTTTAGATGCAAAGTTAGATAACTACTATTTTTTTTATATAATATAGTTCTATGTATTCAGATATTTGTAAAGTAGGCTTGTTATTGAACTTAGAGTAATTTTTTTTTATTTGTTTTTTTTGAGAATTTGTACAAATATTTTTACTATTTTTAGACGATTTCTTCATGATATTGTTGTGAAATAATAATCAAATACTATATTATTTCTGTAATTTTAAAATATCATATTACGAAAAAAATGTTTGTTATATAAGAGTTTACCTTTAATATGTATACAAAATTTTTTATAAATTGTTTTGTTTTGTTTTAGTTATTATCATCTATTAACAATTCTTATAGATTTCTAGGCTTATTAATAAAAATAGTGTCATGAGAGAATAAAGCAAGTTTAATGATATAGCAAATGCAATAAATTGTTGCTTCAATTTTGTTAATATTACATAATTTTACTTGAAAGCAAGACAAGATAGTTAAGTTTTGGCAATGGCTTTTGAGCAAGTTAATAATAGGGAGTTTTTTTTTTTTTATTAAAGAATCTCACTTCATCTTTTTTATAATTTATCTAAAGTTTTATTCATAATTATTTATTTTTAATTATAGAAGTAGAGAAGAGAATGAAGGGTCCTATTCTGCTTAATGTCAGAAAAGAGGGCTTTTTATAATGAATTGTTAGAGAAGTATATTGGAAACATTTTCCTTTTTTCTGTTCTAATGTTTTTTTTTTCTTTTAATTGCATTATATTATTCTTTGACTCATGCTTCCTTCTTTTCATCAACTTCTCTATTTTGTAGGTCCTGCGCATAAAGCTACAGCTTTGTAACCCAAAACATTTTCACAATGCTAAGGCTCAGTTGCATGCCCATGAAGGTAAGTTATTTTTACCTTTTCTTTGCTAAGCATTGTGGTGATTCTACTAATTTTTTCTTCTTTTTTAGGTTAGTTACAATTGACTTATTCCAATTTTTAGGGCTTTTCTTGAAAGAAATCAGGTTATATAATTTCTAGTTTTGGATTATGATCCAGATTGCAATTCTGGTCATGGTTTTAGTCATGTTTTTAACAACCGTTACACAGTACTAACCTTTAACAATAGTTTTTTTAATCATTGCCTTTGTTATTATTTTATTTTTATTTTATTTGATTATATTTATTATTAGTATTCTTTTTTTTTATTAATGTTTTATTATTGTTTCTAGTAATAATACTTATAGTTTATAGCAATATAGATATCATATAATATCAAAACTATGAAATAGGCTTAGTAAAGATAAGTTGTGTACTTGTTATTTTGTTACTATAAGAATGTATAATATATAAATATAAGAACTTTACAAAACTTATTGATTATTAATAGTTTTATATTTTTTTTGATTAATTAATTCACTAATAATACAATGTTATAACCAAGCTTTTATATTTGTAACTGAATTGTAGAGGTTTATATTTAAATAAGTTATGATGGTATCTTATTAATTTTAATTATAAATTATGGTTAAAGGAGAAATTTGATAATCATAAATGCCTAAAAATTTTAGAAAGAATGTATAGAAGCACAATTATAATGATCCAAAAATAATTAATAATCTGAATCGAAGTTACAAGAGCCAATTTACTTTATCAAATTGAATCTCTAATATATGATCTTATTCAAGAAAAACATTTTATTACTTGAATTGTTAGATAAATATACTTTTACTTTATTAAAGAGAAATAGGCAAGAAATATGCTATACTTTATTAAAATATTAGTTATATATCTGAATTCTTTATAATAAATATTTTTTTCTAAAATATATAACTTTCTTAATATTTATGTATAATATTCGCATATACATTGTGTACTTAGTATTGTAAAATTAAGACCAAGATATAACTTATTGCATTGATGATGGTTATGCAAGAGGTATTATGATAAGGATAATCTGTGATTAGCTTTGCATAACCTGATCTAGGTATTTTATAGTAAGTTGGATCTTTAGTGCTTTATTCTTTTATTGCCCAATTGACATCTGGCTTATAATATTTAGCTCATCACCTTACTAAAAAAAAAAAAACTCCTCCAACAATAAGAATTGCTATACCTTGTGTCATCATTCTTTTAAATAAAATAACACCTTGCTGCCTGCACCTTCTGTAAACATAATCATATCTGTGTTGTAAAATAGCACTATGATTACTGCACCATGATATAGCATTTTTATAAGATTTTACTAGGCTTATTAGACTTAGCAGAACATTATTAGGATTATATAAGCATCTTTTAAAAACCTAACACTAAATAAAACAATCAACTAAAATATTGTGCAAGTTCTTTTACCAAATATTATATAAACATATATATTTATTTTTATTTATATTTTTATCTTATTATTATTTTTTTTTATTAAGCAAACCATGTTTTTAAATACTTTAATCACAACATTATAATCACCAATTATTCTTTTACAAACATAAATATGTGAATCTTCTAACTTGGTATATTTAAATATATTATAAGTTGGAAAAAGATTTAAGTCAATTTGAATTTCCTATTTAATTGGGGTTAGGTTAGAATATATATGTTATATGTCACTATAGGATTTATAATCAACTTAAATTGAAACAGAATTCCAAATGTAATCCATGATGATACGAAATTTAAAAGCAACCTAAATTGATTTTAAATCTGATATTCAACAAATTTAATATAAAGTTGATTTTAAATTCGATAAGATACAATTTTTTTCCTTTGCAGAACTTTCTATTTGATGACTGAATCTTAAGATTATTTATTTTTATCTCATAATGAATTCGAAGAATCGTTTTTCAAAATATCTTATTAGAAAATTGGCTAATAGTCGATGTTAAACCTTTATAATACATGAAAACTTCTGATTTTCATTTAAGATTTTACAAGATCTAGCAAATACAAGCACTAACTACGATTGAAAGACATCCTCTCAAGATTCTTGCAGTTTTCAAAAATAGTACATATAGCTTAGATACAAATCGGCATTATTGGAATTACTAATAAGTTTCCAGAATTAGTAAAGTTGATATTGAACCTTTTTATAACAAACTCAAAAATTTGAAATTTCATAATAATTCAGTATAATATGCAATAATAGTTCTTAAGAAACCATTATTTTCTATCACTAACTTATTTTTTCTTCAATGCATATAAGCATTCAAGAAATGTCTATTATGCAATCTTCTTCATAAGTAGATAATATTAAATGCGAATGCAAAAATGCATATAACACAAATCATTGTAAATAACCTTATGTAATGTAGTTTCTATCCTACTAATTGAAGATGCAAAAACTAATGCTTTTAAATTTAACTAATGAATAAACCCTATTTTAAAGCAATTTAAATTTCAAAACAAAGTACCAATAAAATAATTTAGAATACATTTAATTTTATTGTAAGTTAAATTATAATTCTTTAATGACTCAGTCACATTTTAGAATTTTATTATAATCTATATTTATTTGGTATCTACCTAGATGCATTCTAAATCTATAACAATTCTATTCCAATGTACAACATATATATAACTGAGTTAACT